AAGACCTTTCCCACATCTGCTTCATCTTGCCCTTAAGGTACTTTGAATGATCAAAACACCTGTAGCTCTGTGACTAAATTAAATCAAGGTAAGTACAGAGAGGTCAAGGGTTATACCCACAGTTTCTCTGTTAGTTGATAACAGAGCTAGTTCACAGTCCTGTGCTCTTTCCCCTGGAACATGTCAGGAGACATATCAAGACAGCTGAAAGTGGGCGACCTACACAAGCCAGCCATAGTCATTGCTGGGCTGGAGTGGTTCATGCAGGCTCAGCATTTGTGGTGTGGCCAGATGGGGACCAGCATCACATTGGTAATGATATAGCAGTGGTTCTCAAACTTAAGCAGGTCTCCAGATCACCTGAATTCCTAACAAGTTCCCAGGTGATGTTGCTGCTGCTGGTACAGGAACCAAACTTAGAAAGAACCCTGGTGCAGAGGATCTACCCAGAAGTTCCAGCTAGGCCCCCTCCCCTAAGGTGACTCTAAGTACAGGGAATCCCAAAGAGACCTTTATACTCCTTGTCTTGTCTCTAGAAACCAGGTGTTAGAGTAGCACTTGAAATGGAAGTGAACTTCTATGGAATTTAAAGGATAAAAGGAGCAAGAAGACTAATAAAAAAAAATTTTTTTTAATGAGTAAATAATAAAAGGAGAAATAACTCCATGTGTATGCCTGTCAGTGGATGTGTCTCCAGGTACGGGGTATTTTCTAAAACCCATCTAGGAATGAGAAGAGCAGATGGGTTTTTTGATCAAAGTCTGAATGGTATGATTAGGAGAAAGACTATATGGAGTAATTGACCTAAAATAACAAGAAATCAGTCCTTGACAAAATTGCCTTTTAGTTCTTAGAGATTTCACTCCTTTTGGCGGGGGGCCGGTGGGACTGGCCTATAAGGGCATTTGAACCCTTTACTTTGGTGTTATCAATACTGCACTCTAACCAACTAGCCGGCCAGCCCTGACATTTAGCTCTGACCACATTTTATGAGCACTAAGGCAGAAAATCATAGTTGTGTTTAACTGAGGTGAGGAGTGAACACTCTTTTCTAACCTTTTTCTATCTCAAAAATAGATCTCTTGATTAAAAGAGCTAAACTTAAAAAAACTTTAGTATGACCACAATATTTAAAGATTTTGTGGTAAATCAAACTTTAAAAAATAACCAGATACCACTTGATATATTTTCTATTTATCCCAGAACCATTATTATTGTTTGTCTTCTTCCTACTTACAGTTTCAAAAAGAGTCCTTCACTTCTTTTACTGATGTATTTTCATTATATACAAAGATTTTAACCAAAATCTTGTAGTTACCCCTTTTTTATTTCACTTTTTTACCCTGCCTTATTTCAAACAAGGCTTCAGGTAACTTGCAAAGGTAGGTAAACTGTGACAAAATAGTTCCAAAAAAAAAAAAAAAGAATCAGGAAAAGATAACTAAGGAGAGAGACAAAGTAGAGCCAAGAATAATAGAGCTAAAAATGCAAACCATGACCCCCCTCATGTCATTAGACCAAAGTGCCATTCAGTGAGAGAGGAAGGCGTGCTCTCTGCTGGTCTGATCTGCTCTGCCAAAGTATTTGGGAAAATCTGGAAGATAGATTAAAGGCACAGGCCAGCTGAAGGCCTCTTCTTTCAACTGAGCATTTGCTAAAAATTGTGTGGCAGTATGCTTACGACTCTTTTTTCCTCAAAAATGCCTAATGGGAGCTTCTCTGGTGAGGTGAATAAATAAATACTTGCTGACCTTCACCTGGTGGCAGTGATTCTTCTAAAAAGTAGATACGATCATTTTCTTTCCCTGTTTCAAACAGAGAAAATGGCACTGACTCTGCGTTTGCCCAGAGGCAATGCTCAGCCTCTTGGTGTGGCCAGCGCCCTTTCTGCTCCTGGTGTGTGCAGCTTCCTCAGGTTGCTTCATCTTGCTGCGCTGCTCACCTTTGGCCTCTCTGTGTTCCCACCACCTGCACACCCTTCTCCAGCCTTTCTGTCCGTCTCCCCACCCATCCATCCGAATTGAACACATATTACTTTTATAATAAATGTTTTAGGAAAAATGAAACATCACAGGAGACAAACTTCACACAGCCTGTAGTTAGAGTACCTTTGCCCATAACACGAGAAAGCTCTGAAGTCCCCCGATTCAGGGCTCCTTGTTCCAGGAGGGGATGGGTTCCCTCAGGCACCAAGGTGCTAAGCGTGGCTTGTCAACCTGTCCAGTTTTCATTCATGCCCCTGAACACATTGATTTAAACACCAAGATTGAGCCTCATGACTTTCTGTGATTCCAACAAGGGTCAGAAACTAAACTTCCACATAAAATTGCCTATCTCAATAAATTAAATTCATGTGTGCTTTTCTAAAAGGGCTTTTCATAACACTAATACCTTTGAATCTAACCGGCTTCCACAGGCCTTGGAGAAGGAGTGAACAGCCTTTTTTTTTTTTTAACACAAGAGCCAATTCAGGAAAAATAAAAATGTTTTTGAGCTACATTTTTTTTCTTCCACTCAGAATAAAGCTAGCTTTTTAGAGTCCCATAGGAAAAAAAAATCTGTTCTTATACACTACCTTATTGAAAGAAGAACAACAGTTGTAACATTTGTACAGCTTTAGCCATCTAAATTCTCCTTTCTGGGCATATGTGAGATGTAGCAGCACAGAGTCGGCTTCGTAATCTTTCCATCTGGAAAATTATATTGTGTGCTGTATTGGGAAGCTAGGTGGTCCCAGGTTCCATGATGTACATCACTACCTTAGCGAACTCTGTTTGGGTAGATGGTGAGGAATGGCACTGAGGAGCAAATAGGATCGAAGAAATAGAAACAGTATATGCTTGTAGTCTACTCCATCAGGATGTTTGGCTTTGAAGAGTGTTGAAGCAAAAGGGCTATTACCTTGGTGGAAATATGAACAAAGTAATTTATTTGAGGATGCAGGAAGTCAGTAGACAGTGCAGATAAAAGATAAAAGACAGATGAGAGAAGATATTAAATAAGAGCAAAAGTGGACAGTTTATCTTTAAAAATGAAGAAGACAGCCTCTTCTGAAATGGGAGAAAGGTAAAGAAGTAAATCTGAGAGCATTTGGCGCTCTTGTTTAAGAGGGCAGGATGTCTGTTAAGGGGATTGGGAGCTAAAGGAAGCTGGAGCCTTGAGAAGGCTGGAGAGGAGTTAAAACAGTCACTGTATGGAATCAGAATGGACATTGGCTCCAGCCAAGCACCCACACTGTTCAGCCAAGCACCGGCACTGGGGCCAGTGAGTGTGATTGTAGGGCTGTCCCCAGCAGGAACGGAGACAGCGCGTCATTGAGCACATGCAGAAATGGGAATTGTAGGGTGGGAGTGATGGAAGGACAAGGCAAAATAAAAGATTGAGGGTAGTAATTGACCACCGGGTTCAGAAGAGGTGGCCCAGGCACAGGTGGGTGGCAGTTCATCCTCAGGGCTGAGCATGCACTAAGAAGTCTCTCCACTGCAGTTCCTGGTTCTTCTGTCACAAGCCCCTTGATGGCAGCATGCTCCTTATGTGTTTTCTTTTTTCATCCAAACTCCCATTTTGTTGGGTTCCATCTTCCAGGTAGAGTGGTCATGGCCTGGGAGGAGAGAGTCAGTGCTGGACACCATATAAGAGTGGGAGCCAGGATTCTCCAAGTCACTTCTAGCTTTCGTATTCTTTTGCCCTGGCTTCACTTGGTATTGTCAGCTGCTAGACTCTCCTGCTTCCCCAACCCCACTGCCGGCTGAGTTCTACTGGTCATAATTCTACAAGTCAGCCTTTGTCCTTGAGGGGCAGTGTCATAGACTCGGGGCTTCTCTCCTGCTGTAAAACACTGCAGCCCTGTGAATAGGAAAGTGTTATCTCATGTGTGTGCTCCTAGGGTAAAGATTTCCCCCAGGGGATTGGCCATCGCTAAAACTGAGCACACCAGAAGCTGCACTCTGGTGACTCTTTCTTCTCAAGGAGCACGTTGTGGACTCTGTAAGTGAGCAGGGTCCCTAAACACTATATAAACTTATTTTAATCGGAAGTGGAATTATGACTTCTGCAAAAGAAAGCAAGCTTGAGTAACCTCCTTAGGTTTCTGAAGAAAGAATAAATAAGCATACATATAAGCAGGAACTAGTATATCCAATTTATCTAGACTCTCAAAGTCTTTAATAAGATTCCATACGAAGTCTGCTTTAAAAAATGGGCACATTTGAGAAACAGGCTTATAATGATCATTATCCTTATAGGGTTTCATTTGACTGTTTTCATTTACATGCATAACATTGCGCAACCTCCTCTTGAAAATGTCCTGTCCGTAAACCAAATTATGGCTCTGGCACTACACAACAACCTCCTGGTGTTTTTACTATTGTCACAGAACTGGTACCATGCTGAGCCTGTAATTTTTTACAGGTATTGTAATGGTGGCACTCACTGAGGCATGCCATAGTTACTCATTACTGCTAATAAGGTGATGTTTTACAATAAGGTAGAAATAAATGGGTAGAACTGCTTCCAGAATTAAGATCCTATTTTTTGCCCAGGTCTTACAGTATTGTGTTCTAAGTGGTGTGTTCGTGACTGACCCCTACTTAGCACTAACTGTAAAATGCAACACTGAGCAAAGTCGTCATTGTCTCAGTCTGTCAGTCCTCACTTCACCCGATGAGGAAGAGAGAGTAATTTCTTACAGAGCTGATTGGAGCCCACATGGCTACAGCCTGGAAGGGACAGTGTCTGTAATTAGAATCTAGGACACGCCAACCTCGACTTTCTTAACTGCTCCACTCCCAGCTGGCAAAATCAAGAGGAGCAAACAGAGCTCCCACAAACATAACCCTTCCTTTTAAGTTTCCTTAAGAGAATTCTGCATAACAAGGAAGAAGTCACCAGTACTGCCTCTGGTTGCTTCACAGTAGAGGTGGGTTGTGCGCTCTTCATCAGCTCTGATTCTAGGCAGTTGAGCTGGAACTGATCGCTTGGTGTTCTCTGCTCTTTTGCAGCCCGTTGCTAGCTATGTCCTTTGCCACTTGTTGTGCTGTTCCAGGAGTTGCACTTCTGACCTGGGGGGTGAATCCACTCACAGGAGCCCTGGGAGTCTTCAACATTTTCCTGTACACCTGCTGTTACACACCACTGAAGAGGATCAGCATTGCCAACACATGGGTCGGAGCTGTGGTTGGGGCCATCCCACCCGTCATGGGCTGGACAGCGGCTACTGGTAGCCTCGATGCTGGTGAGTGTTTCATGTGTGAAGTGTCAGCTTCTCTCAGCAGACCTGTGGCATGGGTGCCAGAAAAAATAGCCCAACAGTTCCTCCATGCAGGCCTGAGCACACACTAGTCAAAGAGGCAGTCCCTTCCCTGAGCTGCAGTAGTGGTCAGATTCCATTTTATTCCTTACTNTTTTTTCCTTATTCATACATTTATTTCGTGTTATTAAAAATTAGAAGTTTTTTGCAATGTCATCACATCCTGTTCACCTGCATTTCTGATCTTTTTTATATAATTTCACACCAGCAAGAACCGCTCACAGAGATGTTAATTCCTCTGCTCTTAATGAAGGCCATGACAGCTACGGTTAGAGGTGCAAGAGCACCAACATTTGAAAGAAATGTTTTGCATGTGATCAGTCTAGTTTTTACTGGTGCCAATTTGTTTACTTTTTCATAATTTGATAGCATAAAACAAAATTCTTAATAAAAAGTTGCAATTGAAAATAAAAATAGTTGTAAAGTATTATAACACTAAGGTCAAGAGTTCAAATCCCCTTACCAGCCAGCCACAAAAAAAAAAAAAGAAAAAGAAAAAGAAAAAGAAAAATAGTTTAATATTCATTAAGTCTGTAAATTTGAAAAAATAAATCAGGGGAAACAATATATTGCAAGTTTATTAGCCCCTATCTCCAGCTCCATTTAAATAGGTCCTCCCTTTTTAATTAATTCCGTCTCATTTCATCTGTTCTTTTTCTTGTAGCTGATTTTACAGTTTGAGAGTTCGTAATACTTGTTTAATGCCTGTCTTCCTTTCTAGACTAAACTTTCTTATTTTGTTCACTGCTGTGTAGCCACACAACATAGTGGCTGACTGTATAGGCAATGAGAAATTTGAATGAATGAATGAATGAATGAATGAGTGAATGAGCAAGTGAACACTATGTGCTCATTTAGTCAGCACTCTGCTGAGTGCTTTATTTACACTGTTGCATTTAATTCTTAAGTTACTATGAAGTATCTCCCATTTTACAGATGAAGAAACTAAGATCAGCACCTTAAGTAATTTGTTCAAGATCACACAACTAAACAGGATACAAACCGTACCTTCCCTATGTTCTTATTGTTGAGTCTCTTTGCCTAAGCAAATTTTACTGGAGTGTCATTCTTGCCACCGAAAGAGCCCTAAAACACTCCTTACTTTAGTTGAGGAAATTAAGGACCAGAGAGGCTAAATAAGTTGCCCAGTTTTACATAGCTAGTTAATATCAAGGTAAGAACTAGATTTCATACCGCCTGATTCCTGTTCAGCATGCTTAGTTAAGCTACCATCAGGAAACCAGAATATAATAATAATAATAATAATAATAATAATAATAATAATAATAATAATAATAATAATAATAATAATAATAATAATAATAATAATAATAATAATAATAATAATAATAATAATAATAATAATAATAATAATAATAATAATAATAATAATAATAATAATAATAATAATAATAATAATAATAATAATAATAATAATAATAATAATAATAATAATAATAATAATAATAATAATAATAATAATAATAATAATAATAATAATAATAATAATAATAATAATAATAATAATAATAATAATAATAATAATAATAATAATAATAATAATAATAATAATAATAATAATAATAATAATAATAATAATAATAATAATAATAATAATAATAATAATAATAATAATAATAATAATAATAATAATAATAATAATAATCTGGGGGGTGAATCCACTCACAGGAGCCCTGGGAGTCTTCAACATTTTCCTGTACACCTGCTGTTACACACCACTGAAGAGGATCAGCATTGCCAACACATGGGTCGGAGCTGTGGTTGGGGCCATCCCACCCGTCATGGGCTGGACAGCGGCTACTGGTAGCCTCGATGCTGGTGAGTGTTTCATGTGTGAAGTGTCAGCTTCTCTCAGCAGACCTGTGGCATGGGTGCCAGAAAAAATAGCCCAACAGTTCCTCCATGCAGGCCTGAGCACACACTAGTCAAAGAGGCAGTCCCTTCCCTGAGCTGCAGTAGTGGTCAGATTCCATTTTATTCCTTACTGATTCTTCTGGCCAGTGCATTGATGTGGCAGTCAAATACTGTGGAAGCAGAGCTAAAGGGAGATTGTGTCATTCTGGCTTGTGGGGGAACGTGACATACACTTTCCTTATAGGGAATGTCTAAAAGAAAACACAGGACGCAGTGCTACCTCAGCCTGAGACTGCAGGGAAAGCGAAAAGAAAGTCCGTGAAATCAGGATGAAAAGCACACATCAAGTTAGGACTGACAGATTCATTTGTGACATCCCAGTCCATGGAGAAGGCGTCTGGAGCTGGCCCCCAGTCCCCTAGAAAGCGTGTCACCTCGTTGAGCCTCCTTCATTAGCTCTTGACTCCCATTGAACTGGGTTGTTTTCCCTGCTTATGAAAAAAGAGATTATTTCCATTAATTTCTAATTTATTTTTATATGATTTGCTTAAATTGTTCATGCTGTCTACAGTAAAACCATTGAAACATTTATACCTTTTTTTTTGATGGTATGTCACGACTAAATTTGTGGGGTGAAAATAGCTCCTTTTTACCATTTGTAAGGGGAAGTTTCACAGTCTAATTAGTCAAGTAATTAGTGTTTTTGACCGACACTACAGAGCTGATTGGAGCCCACATGGCTACAGCCTGGAAGGGACAGTGTCTGTAATTAGAATCTAGGACACGCCAACCTCGACTCTCTTAACTGCTCCACTCCCAGCTGGCAAAATCAAGAGGAGCAAACAGAGCTCCCACAAACATAACCCTTCCTTTTAAGTTTCCTTAAGAGAATTCTGCATAACAAGGAAGAAGTCACCAGTACTGCCTCTGGTTGCTTCACAGTAGAGGTGGGTTGTGCGCTCTTCATCAGCTCTGATTCTAGGCAGTTGAGCTGGAACTGATCGCTTGGTGTTCTCTGCTCTTTTGCAGCCCGTTGCTAGCTATGTCCTTTGCCACTTGTTGTGCTGTTCCAGGAGTTGCACTTCTGACCTGGGGGGTGAATCCACTCACAGGAGCCCTGGGAGTCTTCAACATTTTCCTGTACACCTGCTGTTACACACCACTGAAGAGGATCAGCATTGCCAACACATGGGTCGGAGCTGTGGTTGGGGCCATCCCACCCGTCATGGGCTGGACAGCGGCTACTGGTAGCCTCGATGCTGGTGAGTGTTTCATGTGTGAAGTGTCAGCTTCTCTCAGCAGACCTGTGGCATGGGTGCCAGAAAAAATAGCCCAACAGTTCCTCCATGCAGGCCTGAGCACACACTAGTCAAAGAGGCAGTCCCTTCCCTGAGCTGCAGTAGTGGTCAGATTCCATTTTATTCCTTACTGATTCTTCTGGCCAGTGCATTGATGTGGCAGTCAAATACTGTGGAAGCAGAGCTAAAGGGAGATTGTGTCATTCTGGCTTGTGGGGGAACGTGACATACACTTTCCTTATAGGGAATGTCTAAAAGAAAACACAGGACGCAGTGCTACCTCAGCCTGAGACTGCAGGGAAAGCGAAAAGAAAGTCCGTGAAATCAGGATGAAAAGCACACATCAAGTTAGGACTGACAGATTCATTTGTGACATCCCAGTCCATGGAGAAGGCGTCTGGAGCTGGCCCCCAGTCCCCTAGAAAGCGTGTCACCTCGTTGAGCCTCCTTCATTAGCTCTTGACTCCCATTGAACTGGGTTGTTTTCCCTGCTTATGAAAAAAGAGATTATTTCCATTAATTTCTAATTTATTTTTATATGATTTGCTTAAATTGTTCATGCTGTCTACAGTAAAACCATTGAAACATTTATACCTTTTTTTTTGATGGTATGTCACGACTAAATTTGTGGGGTGAAAATAGCTCCTTTTTACCATTTGTAAGGGGAAGTTTCACAGTCTAATTAGTCAAGTAATTAGTGTTTTTGACCGACACTACAGAGCTGATTGGAGCCCACATGGCTACAGCCTGGAAGGGACAGTGTCTGTAATTAGAATCTAGGACACGCCAACCTCGACTCTCTTAACTGCTCCACTCCCAGCTGGCAAAATCAAGAGGAGCAAACAGAGCTCCCACAAACATAACCCTTCCTTTTAAGTTTCCTTAAGAGAATTCTGCATAACAAGGAAGAAGTCACCAGTACTGCCTCTGGTTGCTTCACAGTAGAGGTGGGTTGTGCGCTCTTCATCAGCTCTGATTCTAGGCAGTTGAGCTGGAACTGATCGCTTGGTGTTCTCTGCTCTTTTGCAGCCCGTTGCTAGCTATGTCCTTTGCCACTTGTTGTGCTGTTCCAGGAGTTGCACTTCTGACCTGGGGGGTGAATCCACTCACAGGAGCCCTGGGAGTCTTCAACATTTTCCTGTACACCTGCTGTTACACACCACTGAAGAGGATCAGCATTGCCAACACATGGGTCGGAGCTGTGGTTGGGGCCATCCCACCCGTCATGGGCTGGACAGCGGCTACTGGTAGCCTCGATGCTGGTGAGTGTTTCATGTGTGAAGTGTCAGCTTCTCTCAGCAGACCTGTGGCATGGGTGCCAGAAAAAATAGCCCAACAGTTCCTCCATGCAGGCCTGAGCACACACTAGTCAAAGAGGCAGTCCCTTCCCTGAGCTGCAGTAGTGGTCAGATTCCATTTTATTCCTTACTGATTCTTCTGGCCAGTGCATTGATGTGGCAGTCAAATACTGTGGAAGCAGAGCTAAAGGGAGATTGTGTCATTCTGGCTTGTGGGGGAACGTGACATACACTTTCCTTATAGGGAATGTCTAAAAGAAAACACAGGACGCAGTGCTACCTCAGCCTGAGACTGCAGGGAAAGCGAAAAGAAAGTCCGTGAAATCAGGATGAAAAGCACACATCAAGTTAGGACTGACAGATTCATTTGTGACATCCCAGTCCATGGAGAAGGCGTCTGGAGCTGGCCCCCAGTCCCCTAGAAAGCGTGTCACCTCGTTGAGCCTCCTTCATT